GTCCCTTTGTGTCCTCCTCATATTCCTGAGACCTTTCTGGGGCAGGAGGGCTGGCTTAGGGCTCCCGTTGTCCCAGCCAGCCCATGATGTCTCTGCTCAGCTGGTGCTCAGGCCCTCCCAGATTGGGATGAGAAGGCCTCACCACAGCCCCTCTTCCTCCTCCAGGGTGGCCCTGTGGAGATCTTGCCCTACCTATTCCTGGGCAGTTGCAGCCACTCCTCAGACCTACAGGGGCTGCAGGCCTGCGGCATCACAGCTGTCCTCAACGTCTCTGCCAGCTGTCCCAATTATTTTGAGGGCCTTCTCCGCTACAAGAGTATCCCAGTGGAGGACAACCAGATGGTGGAGATCAGTGCCTGGTTCCAGGAGGCCATAGGCTTCATTGGTAAGTTGGGGGGGATTCCACCTAGGGATCTGTAGGGGCTTCGGGGGAGGGGGCTTGAGGGGACCTGTCTCCTGGTCTATGCACCTTCCCATCTGACCCACTGCCCCCAATCTCCCTTGCAGACTCAGTGAAGAACAGCGGAGGCCGGGTGCTGGTGCACTGCCAGGCGGGCATCTCGCGCTCCGCCACCATCTGCCTGGCATACCTGATGCAGAGCCGCCGTGTGCGGCTGGACGAGGCCTTCGACTTTGTTAAGCAACGCCGGGGAGTCATCTCCCCCAACTTCAGTTTCATGGGGCAGCTGCTGCAGTTTGAGACCCAGGTGCTGTGTCACTGAGGCAGGACCCCCTCTGCCTGTTCGCCGCCACCTTGCTGGCTCTCACTGATTCCTGGGGGAGCCCTGGCGACAGGTGGGCTCTCCTCTGCCCCAGCACATCGCCCCAACCTCTGAAAGGGCTGCTGCCTCCTCGGAGTTTGGAAAGCCCCCAGGTGGGGGCTAGGATGCTGGAGTGGTGGCTTCTCTGACCTGGTGCTCTTCTGCTAGTGGTTTGAGGGCTGGCCCTCATGCAGGGGACAGGCATAGAGAGTATGTCTGCATTCTCCTTCCCCATCCTCTGGCAGAAATTAATTGGACTCTACACTGATGGACTCTCTCGGGTCCACCACCACACTGAAGCCCTTGGCAGCCTGAGAGCTCCAAGAAACAAGCTGTGACAACCAGGAGCCCTGTCTGGGGGATGGTCTGCCCCAGGGCCTGGAGCCCGAGCCCTGTGCTCCTGGGGGAGCTGGGGACTCGGGAAGTGATGTGTATGTTGTGTTGCGGACCTGTTGCTTGCGTGTGTACCATGCGAGCATTGCACGCCTGTGTTGGCGCTGGAAAGTTATTTGTGTTCAACTGACATTTAACACTGCCTCCCCACTTCCTCCCAGCCCTATGGGCGGGGGTTGGAAACTTCGCACTTTATATTTATACAGAACATTGAGGATGTGTCAATAAAATATTATTTTGTTTAAGAAAAAACAACTCCCCAAACGTCTGATCTCAAGTCAATGCCCAGGAGAATGTTAGGCCAGCTGTTTCTTAGCCAGGTCCCCCTGTCCCTGTGCCGGCAGTGTCTGGGAAGTGGAGGGCAGAGGCTGACCTCTCCCTCCTGGCCCCAGCTCCTCTCCCTGGGCTGGTGTCCTTTCCCAGGCAAGGCTCTGGCTGCAGGGCTGGGAAAGGTCCTTTCTGGGAGGCTGGCTCCCAACCACAAGGCAGCACTGGGCCTCGTGCTGTGGACCCCACCTCTTTTCAGTACACGTGGGCTGGATGTAAGTGTGTTCAGGTGTGTGGGTTCTGTGGCTTTGGGTTGTTCTTGGCCTGTGCACACCTGCATGTCGTGTGGGTGTTCCAAGGGGAGCGTGTCCGGGCACGAGGCTCTCCTCACGGTGGAGCAGCACAGCCTCTCCACTCTCCTCCCACATCCGAGCCGGCCCCCAGGCCTCAGCATGCCTGTCCACACTGGGGCTCTGGGTAGCCTCCGTTCCAGAGCTTCATGTCCCCAAAAGGCATGTGCCCGGTGTCTCGTGCACACCCACCCAACTAGCGTGTCTTTGTGGACATCGCTTGCATGCCCAGCACGGGACTGGGAGAGACTGTGGAGACAGAGACGTGGGCCCAGCCCAAGCCAGAAGCGGAGGGGTGAGTGCCGAGGCTGCCGGAAGGGGATGCTGGGGCCTTTGGGGCTGGCTGTGCGGGAGCCAGTCCTGCTTCAGCCCCACCCTGACACTTGGCCACTTGGAGTGTCATCCAGTTGACTCCATTTTACCTTCCAGGCTCTGCTCAAGAGTCACCCTGTCCAGCGCCGTCTCCTACAACATTCTCAGTGGCTGGCAGGGGGCACTGGGTGGGGGGCGCGGGATGTAGTTTGATGGGCCAGTTTTGCCTAACCTTGTTTTATGTCAGTTTCCTTGTCTATAAAAGGAGTTTTATCATTAGCTCTCACCTCTTAGGGTATAGACTTACACAAGTCAGTTCATACGGTGCCCGCACATGGTGGGTGCTCAGAGAGTGCTAGCCACCTGGTCCAGGAGTGACATGGGTCAGATGTACAGGTGTGCAGGTGTGCATCTGGACCAGGCCGGGTGCTCATGAGGGCTAGGCCTGTGCCTGGAGCCGGGCACAGGTGGGCGCTGGCTCTGTGAGGCTGAATGAGGGATGCGAGCACACCCTCGTTCTCTCTGCTCTCTGAGGGGTGGGGTGAGGTGCTCCTGGTGAGAACGGAGCCAAGCTGGGGTTGCTACCCTGCCTTCCTCAGGACCCGAGTGAGCTGCCGTTGGGAGCTGCCTACAACCCACGCACCCAGCTCAAGGTGGGTGAGGGACATCTGGGGCCCTGAGGCATGGTGACTTCCCACCACAGAGCCTCATCTTACAGGTGGCAGGACTGGGGCTGAGGCCTCTGCCCACCCCACCCTCACCCTACTCCATCCCAGCCACCCAATCCCACTCTCCCCTCCCTGTGTTTTTAATCATTTGTCTTCCAGCCAACTGCCTTTCTTTTTCTCTGTTCTTTCCCTCCCTCCCTGCTTCCTTCCTTTTTTCTTCTTTCTTTCTTCCTATTTTTTAACTTTTAGTTGTGATAATGACATAAAATTTATCATTTTTACCGTTTTTAAGTACCCAACACTGTAAAGTCTATTCATGGGTACAACAGACATCCAGAACTTTTTCATCTTGCAAAACTGAAACTCCTATTTAACAACAGCTCCCCATCCCCCCAGCCCCAGCCTCCTGCCCTGGGATCCTCCCTCCCACTTTCTGTCCCTCTGATGTGGGCTACTCTGGATACCGTATGTAAGTGGAAGTATTTGTCTTCTCGTGACTGGCTTATTTCACTCAGCAAAATGTCCTTAAGACCAACTGCATTTCTTAGCCAAGAATCTGTTTCTCTACCCAAGCAGAGTGATTATTTATTATTATCACTATTTTTATTTTTGTTTAATAAATACTCATCTGAAGTGGTCAGCTTCATGCATTCTTTGCTTTTCAATGGGCTGTATTTTCAAATTTCACTTAGTTTTTTCCAGCTTTATTGAGGTATAATTGACAAAAATTATATGTTTAAGCGTATAACGTGATGTTTTGGCATACGAATACATTGTGAAATGACGGCCACGCCCAAGCTAATTAGCATGCCCAGCACTTGCGTTCTGACGTCAATACCCTGTGCAGGCAGCAGGCCCTCCATCGCATTCTCACTGTGGCTCCTATCTTTTGAGATATGCTGAATTCTAGGAATGGCGGGAGTGCTGAGGGGGCCCTGTGGACAATAGCTGTTGTTCTTGTTTCTGTCACTTCCCTTCACTGGGCATTGGTGGCCATGGTGGCGTGTCCCCAGATGCTACCCAGTGTTGCCATGCTTCATCTCCAAGATTTCAATCCAGGTGGGGCCCCCAGGTGACTTGGCTGAGGCTGAGGGGTACGGAGGAGGAGGAACATGGGCAAGGAGCTTTAATTTCCAAATCCAGGCAATGAGAATAAACACTGAGTGTGCCAGGCGGTTGTGCAGATTAGAGGGGTGGTGGCCACGCGAGGGTCTGGCATCCCAAAGCTCCACTGTTCCCACACGGCGGGCTTCTGCGAGGCGCTGGTTACATGGAGTATTGTTTGTGAAATTTTACAGAGGCCTGCACTTGTGATCGTGCACTTCTGTATATGTATACCAAGATATTAGCAAATAAAAATGTAGTGACCTTTCCCTCCTTCCACAGATATACTGGGGGCGCCTGGGGTCTCAGGCCGCCTTTCTCATACCTGAGCACAGGGTGGGGGCGGGAAAAGGCGGCTCCCCAGCTGGAGGAGTAGGCCTGGAGCACCTTTATGCGATGTTTCTCTGCCCCCTGGTGGCGGGAAGGGACCGCAGAAGAGCCACACTGCCAAATAGGGCCCCTTCTCACTCTTTCACCCACTTCAGTCAGGAAGGGTTTGGACCAGGGTCTTAAAAAGCTGGGGCCTGGCTTGGGGTGGGGACTACAGGTAGGGTGGGGCTGCGGGTGGAGGTGGTTGGGCGGGGCCGCAGGTGGAGGTGGTTGGGTGGGGCTGTGGGTGGAGGTGGTTGGGCGGGGCTGCAGATAGGTGGTTGGGCGGGGCCGCAGGTGGAGGTGGTTGGGCGGGGCTGCAGATAGGTGGTTGGGCGGGGCCGCAGGTGGAGGTGGTTGGGCGGAGCTGCAGATAGAGGTGGTTGGCGGGGCCGCAGGTGGAGGTGGTTGGCGGGGCCGCAGGTGGAGGTGGTTGGGCGGGGCCGCAGGTAGAGGTGGTTGGGCGGGGCCGCAGGTGGAGGTGGTTGGGCGGGGCTGCGGGTAGAGGTGGTTGGGCGGGGCTGCAGGTAGAGGTGGTTGGGCGGGGCTGCAGGTGGAGGTAGTTGGGCGGGGCCGCAGGTGGAGGTAGTTGGGCGGGGCCGCAGGTGGAGGTGGTTGGGCGGGGCTACAGTGGAAGTGTTTTGGGGGCTGCAGGTGGGAGCTGAAGAAGCTACTTAAGAGACAGTGGTGGCCCCAATTGTGCAATCTGGCTGCTTTGTCCCTCTGGGATTAGTTCTCTTGCTTGCTGAGGGCAGCAGGGATCCACCATACGGAGGATGGGAGGCCTCTGGCTTCAGGTGCTGGGTCTGCTGTCCTTGCCATGTAAGCTGGCTTCTTGGCCCTCCTGGTGCTGGCTCCAGCCTCGGGAATGCCTGGGAGAGGCCAGAGGGTGTGGCTGGAGCTTGCAGGGATCTTAATTGAGCTCAATGGCACAGAGCAATTGTGCTCTCCAGGGGCGTTCCTTAGAGAAGTCAGCTTCTGGGGCTGATGGGGAGGCCCCCTGAGAACCCTGGGAGCAGAGGTTCTGCCTGGCAGAAAACAGCAGGTGTTCTGCTCCAGACCTACTTGTCTTGGGGTGAGGTAGAAGACTGTAAGTCACTCAGGCTGAGCCCATTCTCCAAAAGCCTGGGCTAAGACAGTCATAGAGTAAGGTCTGAGGCTGGCCCTGCACCTGCCACTGGTGTTAGAACCTGAGGTCTGTCCCTGGCCCCTCCCTTACCTCATACGTGATACGCATTCATTTTTGAGTCAGATGTTGGTCCCATGAAGGTAGTTCCTTCCTTGAAGTAGTCTAGGCCTCGGCACTGTTTGGGGTTGAGAGGAGAGGCCATGCGGGCTCCTAGGACTCTTGCTGGAGGGGATGAGCTTGCTGTCTGGTCTCACCAGTGGGGCACTGCAGGGGTCTGTGTGTCTGTCCCTGTCTGAATGCCCCAGCACCTGCTCAGCCTGTCTGTCTGGGCCAGGTGGGATCCTCGGAGCGCCCTTGGCCTCCAGCTGCCCAGGAACCTGTGGTACCAGCTTGCCAGAAGGCCTCATCTCTGACGAGACCCAGGCGTCTTGGGACAAGGACATCCCTGCGATTAACCAAGGTGAGGGCACTGTTTCTTGTGGCCTGGAGGGATATGACATTGTCCATGTTGTATGAAAATAATGCCAAACACTGAGAAATGCAGAAAAATCCGGGAGGAAATGTACTAGCTTATCCTGGGCTCTAAGTGAGTAGAAATTCTGTGGGCAATTGCTTATCTTGTAGATCTTTCTTAGTGGATTGTTACTTTTATGAGCTTTCTTATTAAAAAAAAACTTACAGAAAAACTGTAAATTCTTAAAAAATGGCCTGATGAAAGTATAGGTCGTTGGGGCTCTCCGAGCCTGGGTGTTGGGCTTGGTCATTAGCAGATGTCTGAGAGCACGTCAGCCACCCGTGCAGGATGGTCTGCAGGTGCGAGGGGGCCAGGTGGATAAAGAGGCCTGAGGCTGGGGGCTCGCTGTCTGGGGATCTCAGCTGGGACAGCGCTGCTAGAAGTGAGGACTGGGGTTCAGATGTAGAGCCATCACAGGCTGAAGCAATGTGGGGCAAGGGGTGACCTTGCCCCAGGAGGTGGAGTGGGGATCTACCTGATGTGGTAGCCACCGTGTGATCTGCCCCCTCCTCTCTCCGAGCTGGATTGGAGTCCCAGCACCTGCTGAGCCTTGAGCTGGGCACCACTCCACCCTCAGGCTACTGTGACTAGTCTGGGGCTACCAGGACCAGTGACTCTTCCCTGGCATTGGCTGTTGGATGCCTCGGAGAAGACTCTCAGCTGCTGGTGGCCCAGGAAGTGTGAGGCTACTGCAGTAATAGCTGCCTGTCCCCCTCCCCCCATGATCCTTCCTGGGGAAGCACCTGCCCAGCCCCGGCGGCTGCGGCGTTGCTGCCCATTAACACACACACTGTACCTGCCCTCCGAGACGGGCTCTTGGCCAAAGGGAGCTGCCTCCGCTATCCAGGGTGGCCCACAGTGACTCAGAAGGAATGGGAGTCTGGCCCGGCCTCAAGGTGGTATGTGTCTGTGTGCCATTTGGGAGAGCTCCCGGGAGATCAGGCTGAGGCTCGCTTCAGCCGAGCTGTGTTCTCCCCTGGCCGCCTCCTGCACCCCTCGCTCCCTCAGTTCCTCCTGAGGTCACTCCTTTTGTAAGTGACTTGCAGAGCACTCCCCGGCTCAGGGCCAGGAGAGGCAGAGGCAAGCTGAGAGGGCCTGTGAGGGCCAGGACTTGCCTGTCTCCTGTGGTGGTACAAATTGGAATCGTCACTTGCCACCTCAAGCATCCAGGATAGAACACAGGTGGGCAGGGCTTGGATGGGGGCTGGGGTGGGGGATGGAGACAGCTAAAAGTAAAGGCCGCTGCTTCCTGACAGCAGAGGACCTGGACTCAGGGCTGGAGCACGTGGACTGCAGGGGCTGGGGCTGTAAGCAGGTGGAGGCTGCAGCCGGGCTGGGAAGCACCACACGCACTTACTTGTAGGCCGGGACTCGGGGCTGTGCGACTTTCCCGAGGCCACACACACTTGGTGCTCACAGAAGCTCCAGCTCCAAAGCCAAAAGAAGAACTCTGAACTCTGGGGGGGTGGGTGCCTGTCCTGTCCCTAGGGTGTGTGTCCTGAGGGTGTGCACCAACACACATCCCATACTCCCTCCCCAGGGCTCATCCCAGAGGAAACCCCAGAGAGCAGCTTCCTCGTCGAGGGGGACATCATCCGGCCGGTGAGCGCACCATGTGTGAGGGACATAACTTGGTAGACACCTTTTTGTCAAGGTCAATGTGACTGTTAAGAATAAGCCAGCCTGAGTGCTAAGGGAGGGGGGTATCTGAAGAGCTGGCACAGTCAGCCCAAAAGGGCTTCCTAGAGGAGGAGCTTTGACCCCATGACCCAGCTTGGTACCCTGCCAGTGGAGGTCCTTGCAGAGGGCTCGGATGGTGGGGCTGGTGGGGCAGTAGGGTGTGAGGCGAGGGGCGCCGTGGCAGTGGTGACCGGGGCAGCCAGAACAAGGAGTAACGTGGAGAGACCGACCATCTTGGCTGGGGTCTTGGAGCTGAGTCAGAGGGAAGAGGCTGGTGGGAATTGGGGTGACTTATCAGCGGAGAAAGGAACACCGTGCCCAGGAGAACAGTGTCATATTTTAGGCAACTAGGGATGGCAGAAGGCTCCTGAATAGGACAGTGACAGGTGGAAGGCAAGCACATCCCTTGGGCTTAGAAGCTGCCTGTGGGTGGCATGGCATGGGGCTGGGCTGAAGCGCCAAAGGCCAGCCTTGAGGCTGTGCAGGAACCTGGGGGCAGGGCAGGCTCAGGTTATCCAGCCAGTACATGGGAGGTGGCCGTGTGACCCTCCTGGAGCAGAATCCAGCTTTGGTGGGTGCCACGCTGAGGAGCCCTGGAGCCTGTGCTTCCGGGAGTCTGGTGGGCTGGAGACTGGGGAAGGAGCCGCTGAGGCCAGGGTGCTGCCTCAGGGAAGCTCGGCTGCTGCCTGCTCCAGAGACAGGCACTGGTGAGGTGCAGGGGTGGGGCTGCTGGCAGAGCCCTGAGCCCTCCTGATCCAGGGCTCCCTGGTGTGCGGGGCCTCTTAGCCAGCCTCCCCAGGGGCTGGTCTTGTTCTACCTGCGTGATGGAACAGGTTGCAGGCTCAGTTCTATCCAGTGAAGTTTGGTTACAAGGCCATGTCTTGTGAGTCATGATTCACATAGCTGGCCAGTGGATGTCCCCTGCCCCACGGTCCCCCACCTCCACACACATTGCCTCCCACATCTTTAGTGCCGTGGGTGTGGCACCTGGGTGGCCTATGTTCCCAGGGATCCCTGAGCTGCTCTGTCTCCTTAGAGTCCTTTCAGACTGTTGTCAGCAACCAGCAACAAGTGGCCCAAGAGTAGTGGCGGCATCATAGAGATCCCCTTCCTGCTCTCTAGCAAGTATGGTAAGTGTGGCGTGGGCCTCCCCTCTGGCCTCAGCCCCTTCTTCCTGATGCAGCAGGGCTCATCTCTGGGGTTCGTCCTTTTTCCTCTCGCATCACTGCATCCCCTCCACCAGCCCCAAAGAGCCCTTCCACAGAAGCACTTTTATCCCCAAAGGCCTCCTGAGTCAGGAGGGCTAAAGTCTTGGAAGAGCTGATGGGGAAGGTATGTCTTAGGGTGGTCTGGTCCCTGTTGAGACCACATGGTACAGAGGACGGTGACCTTTCCAAGGTCACATGGCCAGTGTCTGTCTGGAGCCCAGCCTTCTTCCCCAACACTACTGTGCTGCCCTTTCTTGACGCTAATTTGGGAGAGAGAGAGAGAATCTGAAGCCCTGTTCCAGCCCCCTAAGGAGACTTCGAAGGCCACAGGGGCTCCGGGGGCTTGGCTGGGAGCTCAGCCAGGCAGTGTCTTCCCCAGATGAGCCCAGCCGCAACGTCATCCTGGAGGCGTTTGCTGAGTTTGAACGTTTCACATGCGTCAGGTTTGTCGCCCACCAGGGCCAGAGAGACTTCATTTCCATCATCCCCATGTATGGGTAAGTGCTCTGGCGTGTGTGTGTGTGTGTTTCTCAGCTGGCTTTTATGTTTAGCTCAGAAATAACTCGGTCTCTAAAAGCTATTTCTGGGCTGTCCTCTGGGGTTCAAAGTCCCCTTGTGTACCCTGAGCGGTTTGCTCAACATGCGCTGGACCCGCAGGGCAGAAGGTGGGGGACGGGATGGGAACTGGGCGCTAGACCCTCATTTGTGAAGCCCTCATCTTCCGGGAGACTCCGTGGCGTGGCGAGGGAGTGCAGGTTTTGTGGGACACACAGTGTGTGACTCGTGCAAGTCCGGGCAAGTCCCCTAACTTGAGCCTCTTCTGGCCTCTCTGAGGTGAGGGTAGTGGCCATACCAACTTCCTGGCTTGTCAGGGGCCTGGGACAATGTGTATGAAAGCTTAGACTCGGCTCACTCATGACTTGTGAGTGCTCACTCAATGAGCTGTGATATCAGTTCCCACCTACTCCCTGCAGTCACGGGTGTCCAGTATGCCCACTTCCCGGAGGCTAGGTGGGAGAACAGGCCCCTTCCCGGGGCCTGACTGTGGGAGAACAGCAAACGTGGGGTCAGAGCCCAGGCTGGGGCCTGCCCATTGGTGCCCACCTATCCTGTGACTGGGGAGGAGGGATGAGGCCTGGGTCCCTGCCTCTCTTTGGGCCGGTGCCCACCCAGCTCATTCTTGTGGCCCTGCAGGTGCTTCTCTGGCGTGGGGCGCAGTGGAGGGATGCAGATGGTATCCCTGGCACCCGCCTGTCTCCGGAGGGGCCGGGGTATCGTCCTGCATGAGCTCATGCACGTGCTGGGCTTCTGGCACGAGCACGCACGGGCCGACCGGGACCGCTACATCCGTGTCAACTGGAACGAGATCCTCCCAGGTAAGCCAGGTTATGCACAGGCTAGGCTCATCCTAGGAGAGAGGACAGCAGGCTCAGGACAGGGCCTAAGGAGTCTCCTGGCTTCTTGAATGAGGTTGTCCCTTCTCTCTGCCACCTGCCTGTTCATGGGAAAGGTGGGGTCCTGCTTCTCTCTGGGATCTGGAGGGTGGTCCAACTGCTGCTGCACTGGGCTCCAAGCCTTCATCCGCCCACCCACAGCTGTGCCTGAGTTAGGGTGTCACCATTTGCTTTGTGTCTCATTTCTCTTCCCTGACACTGTCATCTACCTAAGGATGGGGTTGACAGTGTCTTATGATCCCTACTAATTGAGTACGCAACCAGCAGTCCCTCATGTGCCACTGTGTGCTGGCTGGGGGATTTGAGCAAGGTGGAAGCCCTGGAGGTAGCAGGCTGCATGTGCCAGGTGGAGGGGGCTGAGGGCAGCGCTGGGGGCTTGGAGTGTGCTGGGCACATGGACAGAGGAAGCAGGAGAGCTGATGCTGGTGGTGAGTGGGTCCCAGCTCCATGCCAGGAGGGAGCAGCAGCTGCGTGCTTGGCTTGGTGCTGGGGATCTGATCCTAGCGACAGTGGGTCCCTGCCCTTGTGGGCTCGATGGCCTGATCCAGGAGGTGAGAAGGATAAAGATAACTGCCTAATGAGGTAGGGGGGCAGAGGAGGGATATCCAGGAATTTGGTTAGCGGTGTGGACGGACTCGGAAGGCTTCCTGCAAATAGAGGGCTTCCAGCATGAAACCCTCTTTGGCTGGGGAAAGTGCCCAGGGTCCTGACAGCAGCTCCCAGAAAAAGGGGTGCTTTGGGGGCACATGGGTAGCACCCTACAAAGAGATAGGGATGGAGACTGACTCAGATTAGGCTGGGGAAAGAGCATGGGGGGTGGTGATGGGCGACTCTGTCTCCTGAAAATAGAGACTGTGATCCTTCCAAGTGCTCACGGAACACTTGTGAGACAGACTCGGTCTGTGATACACCAGGAAAAACTCTAAATCTGAAAAAGCAGGTTAGTGGATATTACATAAAAAGTACAAACTAATAACAAATCAAAACAAATCAAAAATCAATCATCTTCTCCCACTCGGAAATTAAAACTAAAATCAAGAAATCTTTCTTTTGGCTCTGGAGTTAAATTGTAGCAATTCTAAAAATCATGAAAGGTTATATTAAAACCCATGTTTCACAGATAAAGCAATGCTCAGGGAAAATTTGTAGACATATACTTACATCAGTAAAAATAGACAACAAATAAATTGAGCATGTAAATCCGAGTTAAGAAAATGAAAGCAGGAGGGAATTGATGAAGGTGAAACCAGAAATTAATGAGTTAGAAAATTACGCTAATAAACTTGATGTTTTCCTAACAAAGCGAGTTAAAACACCAGCCACCGTAATGGGCAAAAAGATGGTTTCTCTTAAGAATGCAGAAAAATGAGAATGTGTTTGTATTTAGTTACTACATACAGAACAAACTCTGCAAGGATATGTGTGTTAATAACAGTAATTAACTGTTGTGGGGGTGGGGAGGAAGATGGAGTAGGAGAATTTTGCTAGCTCTCTTAATATTTGACTTTTGAAGCAGATGAATATGCTGCATATTCAGTTTTGGTTATTATGTTTAATAACTAAAGGGGTTTTAAAAGGATGAAATAAGATTTCTAGGGGCAGGTATTTCAGGTAGGCAGTGGGACTTAAGGGTGTTATAATGCTCGCCTAACTTGTGGCAAGGAGGCTGATGGTGACTTGGGGGTTGCAAGGGGGTGGAAGTGGCCAGCTGGATGGGGGGGGGTGGGAATTGGGGGAGGAAAGAGGGAGGGCACAGCTTCCCTTCCAGGACCTCACTCTGAAGGGCAGGAGGACCCAGTTAAGGGGGAGACGGGCTGCTGCTGGGTTGATGGCAAGTCTCCAAAGTTGGGCAGAGCAGTAGACACTTCCTTTAGTGAGACTGGAGGGGTGTCCTAGACACTTTGGGCAGTGTGCGACTTCATGGAAGCTGCAGGTTATGCAAAGACTAGTCCCATACAAGATAAATATGAGAGGAGGAAGGACCGGTGGAAGGAACTGCTAGGGGGTGATGGTTGGCCAGCCATGAGATCCCTGTGCTTCCATGTCACCTGGTAAAAGTTTGGACTTCTCCCAGGTGTGTGTGTGGGGGGACAGGGAGAAAGCAGGGCTAAATACAGGAAGCAGCACACTTGGCTGTGGTTTCAGACCCCTCAGCTAAGGTGGGTTATAAATTCTCAGAAGGGGCCGGGCACGGTGGCTCATGCCTGTAATCCTAGCACTCTGGGAGGCCGAGGCAGGCGGATCATTTGAGCTCAGGGGTTCAAGACCAGCCTGAGCAAGAGTGAGATCCCGTCTCTACTAAAAATAGAAATAAATTAATTGGCCAACTAAAATTATATAGAAAAAATTAGCCTGGCATGGTGGTACATGCCTGTAGTCTCAGCTACTCAGGAGGCTGAGGTAGGAGGACTGCTTGAGCTCAGGAGTTTGAGGTTGCTGTGAGCTAGGCTGACGCCATGGCACTCTAGCCTGGGCAGCAGAGTGAGACTGTCTCAAAAAAAAAAAAAAATTCTCAGAAGGTATCCCCCACCCCTTGTGGCCCCTTTCCTGTCTGCCCTCTTCTTATGTCTCCAACCTGTGTTTTTTTTTAAGGCTTTGAAATCAACTTCATCAAGGCCCGGAGCAGCAACATGCTGACGCCGTATGACTACTCCTCCGTGATGCACTACGGGAGGTGAGCATCCCCTGGGCCTCCTCTCTGCACTGCCTTCCCCGCCCCTGCCCTGCCTGAACTCAGGCGCCCCCTGCTGGGTTCCAGGCTCGCCTTCAGCCGGCGCGGGCTGCCCACCATCGTGCCGCTCTGGGACCCCAGCGCCCACATAGGCCAGCGATGGAACCTGAGTGCCTCGGACATCACTCGGGTCCTCAGGCTCTACGGCTGCAGCCCGAGCGGCCCCGGCCTCCGTGGGACAGGTGAGTGATGAGGGAGTGTGACTTAAGGAACCTGAAGAAGGATCCTGGGCTGAAGTGGTGTCAGGGAGGGTGATATGCTGGGAGATGAGGTTGCAGAGGTGAATGGGGAGAGATCAGAGGGGGCTCACCACCGTTGGAACAGAAAAAGCATTGAAAAAAGTTAACACTCACTTATGACTAAAAACTTCCAGCAAATAGGAATAGGGGTCACTTTTGTAACCTATAATTGCCAAAAGCCTAGAGCAAAAATCATTTTTGATGGCAAAACATTAAAATTAAGACCAAGACAAGATTCCCCACTATCTACTCAACATTGTACTGTAGTGCAGGTCTTAGCCTTTGCAGTGTGACAAAAAGAAATGAAAAGTCTGGGGACTGGAAAGAAAGCAAAATCTCACTGTTCATAGGTGACAAAAGCAACAATCTGTAAACAAACTACTAGAGCTAATGAGAATCAGAAATGGTAGATACAATCAGTATATGAAAAACCAGTTGTATTTCTGTATACTCAGTTAATAAATGTAATGTTTAGAAAAACAAACCATTATAATAGCAATAATAAAAATCAGGTCCCAAGGCATAAGTCTGACAGAAGTTGAATAAAACTTTCATGGGAAAAAATGTGAACCTTTATTAAAATCATTAAAGAATACTTTAGTACATATATATTAGCCATTGATAGGAAGACAATGTTACAAAAATTCAATTGTTCCCAAATTGATCTATAGATTTAATAAATTTCCACTTAAAATCTCAAATTTTGAGTTGGGTGCGGTGGCGTGTGCCTGTAGTCCCAGTTACTCAGGAGGCTGAGGCAGGAGGATGTGAACTATAATCACACCACTTGTACTCCAGCCTGGGCAATAGAGAAAGACCTTGCCCCTACCCTGCCCCCCAAAAAACTCAGCACATTTTCATCTTGACAGGGTGATTCTAAAGTTTACATGAAAACATGAAAGGTCAATAATAGCCAAGACAATACTGAAGAAAAAGTAGACTTGCCTAGCAGATATTTAGCCATAGTTATGAAATCGTTATATAAACGTATGGCATATAAAATGCATTTACATCTATGTATATAAAATGTCTTTATATAAACATAGGCATTGCCCATCCTTGCTCCAATGCTATCAGAACAGAAAGTTCAGAAATAGATCTCAGAAGTAGAACCTTGATAATGATGCATGGATCACTAGGGAAAGGACAGATTTGTCATTAAATGGTTCTGAGACAACTAGGTATCCATTTTAAAAAATTGAATTCGTAACTCATGCACAGATTCTGGATGCATAAGATATAAATGGAGACACTTTAAAACTTTTAGAAGAAAATATAGTAAGATATCTTCATGACCTTGGGATAGGGAAGGATTTCTTAAATAAGACACAAACAACACTAACCATAAAACTAGAAATATTCACATATTCAACTACATTGACCATAAGACACCACAAATATAGTGAAAATACAAGTTACAAACTAGAACAGATTTTTTTGTGTGTTTGTGTTACCACATAACTGGTGGTATACAGAATGTGTAAAGAACTACACATTGATAAGAAAGATGAAACCACTAAATAGAAAAATGGGTAAGAGACTTAATAGACATTTCAAGAAGAAAACAAATGGGAAACATAAGATGCTCAACCTCACTAGTAACCAAGGAAATGCAAATGGAGACTATAATACCTTTTCACACCCACTAAATTGGCAGGAATTTAAAAGCCCATATCAAACACTGGTAAGGATAAGGAGCAATGCATGGTGACATTCATATGCTATCGATAGGGTTATAAATTGTTTTCTTTTTTCTTTTTTTTTTTTTTTTTTTTGAGACAGAGTCTCACTCTGTTGTCTGGGCTAGAGTGCCATGGCATCAGCCTAACTCACAGCAACCTCAAACTCCTGGGCTCAAGGGATCCTCCTGCCTCAGCCTCCCGAGTAGCTGGGATTACAGGCATGCGCCACCATGCCCGGCTCATTTTTCTATATATTTTTAGTTGTCCAATTAATTTCTTTCTATTTTTAGTAGAGATGGGGTCTTCCTCTTGCTCAGGCTGGTTTGAACTCCTGACCTCGAGCAATCCTCCCGCCTCAGCCTCCCAGAGTGCTAGGATTACAGGCGTGAGTCACTGCACCCAGCCTAAATTGTTTTCTAAAGTGGCTGTTGCAATCTTACATCTTGGGTAGTTGAAATGTGCATATCCCCTGACCCAGATTCTACTCCTAGGTCATCTTGCATGTGAGTACCTGTCCCCCACCCCATGCCTTTGCCCCTAGCCCCAGGTAATCACTAATTTGCTCCCTGTTTCTGTGGGTTTGCCTATTCTGGACACTTCACATGAGTAGAATCATATATGGCCTTTTGTGTCTGGATTTTTAATGTTTTCAAAGGTCATCCGTGTTGTAGCATGTATCAGTACTTTATTCTTATAAATTGCTGTATAGCATTCCCATATTTTATATGCCATATTTTTTCATTCATCTGTTGAAGGACACTTGGGTGGTTTCCACTTCTCAGTTGCTATGAATAGTGTTATTACGAACATTTGTATATAAGATTTCGTGTTAACACATCTTTTCTTTTGAGTATATAGGAGTGGAATTTCTAGGTCCTATGGTAGCTCCGTATTTAACTGCTAAAACATTTTCCAAGTGGCTACACTATTTTTAATTCCCACCAGCAGTGTCCAATCTCTCCATATCCTTGCCAACACTTGTTATTTGTCATTTTTTATTATTACCATCCTAGTGAGTGTCACGTATCTCATTGTGGTTTTGATTTCATTTCCCCAATGACTAACGAGCATCTTTCAATGTGCTCTTTGGTCATCTGCATATATTTGGAGAAATATCTGTTCAAATTCTTTGCCCGTTTTTCAATTGGGCTGTTTTGCTGAGTTGTAAGAATTCTTTATATATTCTAGACACATGTCCCTTATCATTTGGAAATGCTTTTTCACATTCTATGGGTTGTCTCACTTTTTTCATGGTGTCCTTTGAATACCAACATTTTAAATTTGGAAGTCCAACTTACCTATTTTATCACTGCTTTTTGGTGTCATGCCTAAGAAGGCTTTGCCTAACCCCAAGTCATGAAGATTTACTCCTATGTTTTCATCTAAAAGTCTTACAATTCTAGGTTTTACATTTGGGTTCATGCGATCATCTGGAGTGAACTCTTGTGTAGGGTGTAAGGAAAGGGTCCTACTTCATTCTTTTGCATGTTAACTATCCAGTTGTTCTAGCACCACTTGTTAAAGACTATTCTTCCGCCTACATACTTCTACTGTATTAAATAATATATACCTCTTGTAAAAAAACCTAAAGAATAGGAGATGATGTGGCAAGAGCTCTGTGGAAACTTTTCTGGAGGACTATCATGGGGAGGAGAATTGGGAGGTGGAAGGGGCTGAGGTCAAGGAAGGTTTTCTCGAGATGGTGAACAATGACGCATGTCGGGGTGCTGAAATGGTGACTCGCTGGAGAAGGAGGCGACATGGGGGTGGAGAGAGAGAACACCCACAATGTTTGGGGAAGGGCCGCCCTTGGTAGGAGCTGAGGCACTTCCCCAGACCTAATGGGAAGGAAGAAGGAGGAGCAAACCTGAGTTTGCAGGAGGATCATGCTGTGCAGAGGAGGGGGCCTCGGTCCCATGAAGAGCGAGGTGAGGCTGCCAGAGAGGCAGGGGAGGATGGGGTGGGATAAAGGAGGAGACATGAAGCAGCTGACGGGAGAGCAGGAGATGGAGCTGGTGGGGATACATGTGGCAGGGCTGTGGCTGTGGAGGTGAGAGGTGGGGTGGTGGGGGTGCTTGGTCCTCCAGGACATAAGGTGTGACAGAAGGGAAGGTCGTGGAAGCTGCCTCCAAGGGAGTGATTGCAATGAGGGCTGTGGAGCCTGAGCCAGGTGAGGAGTGTCCCGGGCCTTGGTGGGTCTGCAGAGCCTGCCACCTTGGCGAGTGAGCTGGCGCAGAGGTGGCAGCTGTAGGAGGTGGCAGTAGGGATCCGAGACCTCAGGAATTGCAGCCTTCTTAGACATGACACCTCAGAGTGGAGTGGGGGAGGGCATGGGCAGTCAGGTCAGTGGGACTAGGCAGAGAGAGGAGTCGCCAGTTGAAGTATGTCAGTGTGGATTTGGTCACTGTTTGCTGAGGGAAGAGTGGCTTGTTGTGAAGCCCTTGCTATGTGGCCAGGAGTGACCTGGGTGAGAGGCAGCTCTAAGGGGCTATGGTGGCCAGCTCGCCAGAGAACTTGGGTCTAAAATGAAGAGTTCTTATGCAGTAGCAGGTGGCAGTCATGGTCTGGGGGAGCAGCAAAGAGCAAGGAGGACCCAACCCACCTCCTGGCACCACGCACGGGTCTGAGAGCACTTGGCTGTGTCCTCCTGGTGGCCTGGGTTTAGATGTGGCTTCAAGTGCAGGAATAGTTCTAGAAGAGGTCCTAGATGTGGGGTGAGAGGTGGGGGGTATTGTTATACACACAGTGGCCCGAGAGGTCTGGAAGGCGGGTGCTGTAGTGCAGGTCAGGCAGGTTAATGTCTCAGTGGCCTTGGGTGCGAGTGCAGTGGGTCGTGGAATCCTGAGTGGCCTGACCTTCGATGGTGACCTCTGGGGCCAGTGGAGAGAAAAGGGGTGGCTCTGTCGTCCTGGTCTCTAGTGGGGGAATAGGATCTTGAAGGCATTAGGTAGTGGTGTAGCAGTGGCGTGGTGGGTTGGGCTGTGAGCTGGGCTCTATGTCCCTATGAACAAAGCTGGAGCCAGCTCTGGCTCTGTGCAGCTGACCCATCACTTTCCTTCTGTGATTCTGAGATCTAACCTCCTGTCTTTCCTGCTCCAGGGTCCCAAGCCCACAGCAACCGTAGGAGCCCTGCTCCTGCCCCCAGACCACCCCTGCAGCAGCTTCTGGAGGCGCTGTCGGTGGAATCCGGGAGTGGCCAGCGTGTTCCTGCAGGGCCTGGACAGAGCCCACGTGGGTGGGAGTCCCCTGCCCGGAAGACGTTTATTGTGGAGGCCTCAGCAAGGCTACCTCAGTCCCCAGCTTCCACCCCAAGGCCAAGGCCTGGAGCAGGCACTCCTGGTCTTGCTCTGGAGCAGTTGTGGTTGGATCAAGTGCCCACGGAACCCCCAGCCTCATCTTCAGAAACGGGAGACCAACCAGTGCCTATCCAGGCTGCTCTGGGGAGCCCAGCTCTGCCAGGAGACTGTGCACAGGGAAGTCACTTCAGGGGGGTGCCTAGAGATTAAGCCTGTGGCTTCTGTCCCCAAGTGGGGAAGGTACCTTCTGCCCAGAGGAGCTGGGTTGCCCAACCCTTGGCCCCTCTAGGCAGCCCCTGTCTTCCAGTCCCAACCTGGACACCCCTTCGCAGAGGGCCAGGCCTCCTCCTCTGCCCCTTTCCCACCATGTTCCTCCAAGGGCTCCCAGGGTCCATCATTGGGGAAGGCAGGCCTGGCTCTGTCTGCTCTTGACTCTTGCCCCAGCCCTGGAGGATGCTGGAAATGGGAGGTGACACTCTCCAGGGACAAGGTCCTGGCGGGTGGGGGTAAGTTAGGAAGAAGCAGGTTCCAGCCCTGCAGGCCCCTGGAGCCCTCCTGTGGTTGAGGCCCAGCCCCCAGCATGCACTAATGGTGGTGTCCCCACCTCCCCATGTGGCCTAGACCTTGGGAACAACCTCCTATCCCTGGAGTCCAGGTGCTGGGGGTGTTGCTCTGCAGCCGTAGCCTCTAGCCTGCTCTCCAGGAGGCTTTAAGAATCCAGCTCACTCCTCTGTAGCACAGGAAGATACCCGGTTGGGGGTGCTGCCAGCAGGGAGTGGAGAAAGAAGTGGGGGCCTTATCAGGACTACACTGTGGGACCCTCAGCAAGCACATGAGGCCGAACCCCACTTCTCTTCCCTGGCTCCCGGCCTTCCCTGTGAGGTTCGTTCCAGGAATGAAGACAATCTTCAGCGAGTCAGTGGGTGTAGGCTAGAAGCCCCTCAGTCCCCAAGGGGCACTGTTCTTGTGGCCTGTCAGAAGGTCAGGGAGGCCCTGCTTAGGGTCAGGGTAGGCAGGAGCCTCAGGTGTTTGGGCGATGTGGAAATAAAGCTGGTGCCCACTGTGTGCACTGAGCCATGATGATCACCTCCTGCATGCTGTGCCTCTGTCCCTGGGTTATACCCGCCACCAGGGGAGGGAACAGGCTTCGGGAACAGAGGCTTAGGGTGGCGTGGCTGGGGAGCAGCCGTGCATGGCTGAGGCTTGGGCTTCTTGAGGTCCAGAGAGAGCTTGGCCTCTGCCAGCCTTCTGGAGTGGTCCCGTGCTGGGGCTGTCGGGGAATGTGAGGACCCGCTCACGGACCCTGGAGCCTCTTCCAGTCTGTCTTGGGTTTCAGTCTCCAGTCAGTTTTGAGACCCAGGCATTAGCATGAGGGAAGGATCCTGGGGTGGGGGACACTGTCTAGAATGGGTGAGTAGGGGCTCTGGCCCTGCCCCTAGAAGGGTGACAGCCCCACTGGGAGCCTCCCAGGCGGAGACATTGGGCCAACCCTAGAATAGAGGCCCCAATTATCAGAAATGGCTGCCTCACAACCTATCGGCCTCTGGGTGGCCATGCCTGGCTCCGGCGCTGGGCTGAAGCCTGGTGGTGGTCACGCTGGTCAGAGGAGGTAATGGCTCTATTCCCGCAGGCCCCCCCATTTGGAGGCTGTCCCTCACGAGCCTCCACTAGGACTGGGCTCTTAGTCTCTGAATCTGGGTTCTTCTGAAGATATGGGGCTGGCGGGGCCTGGGGGCTCTCGGGGAAGACACGAGGGGGTGGGCAGGAAGTGGGCAGGAAGAAAGCAGCTGGTATCGGCCAGTGATGGGGAAGTGGAGCACTGCTTTAGGTTGTTGGTCAGGAAGGGTCCCTCTGAAGATGTGGCATTCCAGCTGAGACCTGAGTGACAAGAGGTGGCTGCCTGTGAAAACCCAGGGAAAGAGCCCAGAGGGCAAAGCCCCAGCAGGCAGAGGCAAGGCATGAGGAGGTGGTGTGAGGCGGCAGGTCCAGGGCAGGCAGCAAGTGGAGGCAGGGAGGGTTTTTATCACAAAAGCAACAGGGAGCAGCTGCAGAGGGTTCTAAGGAAGGGAGTGACCAGATCTGACTTAGGTTTAAAAAGTCTTTCTGGACAATCCTGGAAAATGGGTCAGGAGCAGAGCAGCTGGGAAGCCACTGTGCTCACACAAGCCAGAGAGGTGGGGGCTGTGGAGATGGACAGAGCAGGTGATTGTGGACTGTGCTTGGGGGTCGAGGCAGCCACATCTGTGATTGTGTGTGGGGGTGAGGGCACTGTTCTGGGTGGGGAGAGGCGGGGCTGGGGGAAATAGGGATGTCAAGTCCAAGGTGGCAGTGAGACCTAATGGGCAGGGAGTGTGTGTGCTGAATCAGCCCTGGGTTCAGGGGAGGGAGGAGGGCAGGAGATGCACAGTGGAGTGCCACTGGCATCTGCATGGGAGCCCTGGGCCTAGATACAGAAGAGGGGTCTCAGGGCTGAAGTAGGGTGTGGCATCACTTACAGAGGCATTTCTCGATCTCGGCATTGCTAGCATTTTGTGCCTGATAGCTATGGTTGAGGGCTGTCCTGTACACTGCAGGAAGTTTAGCAGCATCTTTGGCTTCTACCCACTCAATGCCAGCAGCACTTCCCTCCCCCTGTTGTGACAGTCACAGGTGTCTCCAGACATTGCTAAACAAACGTCCCTTTTGTGTGAGGAGGTGGAATCACTCTTGGTGAGAACCTCTAAATCAGAGTTTGGGAGAAGAAGCCTGAGAAGGAGTGGCCTTTGAGGAAGGAGCAGAACCTTCAGAGTGTCCCAAGGGCAGGTCTGCTGTGTCCAGTGCTGCTGAGGAGGAGGAAGACACAGAAATAAGCTTGGCACTTGGTGACATGGAGCCACATATGACCCATGGAGAGTTGACTCAGTGGAGGGCGGGCTGCAGATGCCCTGCCAAGGGTAAAGGAGAGACACGAGGAGTCGGAGAAGGGAGGCTGTGGGGGCCTTGGGCATGGGCCAGGTAATTGGAAGGCGTGGCACCCTGGGCCAGATGAGGGGGTGGGCTCTAGGGGACAAGCAGAGGACTTGCTCTTCCAGCCGAGTAAATATAATTTGGCTCAGATGCAGGTGGGCGTGGGGGGTGAGTTACTGCTTCATGACTAGCATTTTCTCCTAAGTACCAGGCAGAGTCACAGCAGGGGAGAGGCTAGGAGGTTGGAGAGGAGAAAGGAGGGAGGCTGAGTGGGAGTGGGAGAGTGAGCATACTAGGAAAGTTTGGAGATTTGTGGTCATGCATTTAAAGTGAGGCCAGTCGATGCAGAGTGTTTTGCTCCGGAAAAAGCAGCTGCTTGGTTGCAGGCAGGCAGTGGATGGATGATTAGGGTTTGATCAGGGCTGCGTTTTGTCAGGTGCCTTATGGCTGAGAGAGAGGACGACTGACTTGTGTTATAGAGGGCATGGCTCAAGGCTCTGGGAAGTGGGGCAGTTAAGCCATACAGGGTGGTCTGGGGACAAGGGTCCCAGGGACTTGAAAGGCTGGGGCTTCTGGGGAAAGCTGGGGTGTGCATCAATCCTGGTGGGCTCTTAGGGGACAGAGTGCACCGCTGTGGGCTGCTGTGCTACCAGCTCACCTTGCAGGCCTGGAGAAGAGGTGGCTCTGGGCTTTCAACTAAGATGCCAGATCTCTTGCTGGGCTCTCACAGCCAGGCATGGGACAATCGTCTCACCCTGCTTTGAACAAGATGCTATAGTTTACATACTATGTCATCTTTCCCCATGACCTGTCTTTCCAAGGATGTCCCTCCAGGGCACCTTCACTTGAGCACTACCTGTCTGAGAATGCTTGTGTATATGCATGCACTGATACCTACTGCTGCCGTCACCAGCCAATGACCTTGGGTCAGGTACTGGGGACACAGAAGGGATGTCTGCTCTGATGGGGTGGGGGTGACAAAAACCCATCAGACACCATCTTAGCACAGTGTGCTAAGTGTCAATGTGGTACTCTGTGCGGCATCAGGAAACCTGGAGAACAAGGGACCTCCCTCGGAGAGGGTGGTGACAGGTGAGTGGACCTTGAAGAGTAGGGGCCCACCAAGCACAGAAGGAAGGACAAGAGGTATTTCTGGCAGAGCAGACAGCCCCTGGAAAGGACTGGAGGGGTGGGGACCCAGAGCACGTCCAGGGCCTAGCACTAGCCTGGTGGGGCAGGGGCGGAGGGCCGGGATCTGGGTGGTGCCTTCATGCCCACTTCCCCCACATGTGGCTGGGAACATTCTAGACAGCTCCCATTATAGGTCTGGGACTGAACTCTACCAGCCCTGGGGAAACGGGCTGACAGTGGAAGGTCAGGTCTAGTTTGGGAAGAGCTGAAGGAAGCCTTGCTGCAGCCGTGGGCTCTGAATCCTGCACCCGGCAGCCACGTGGGTGTGTGGGCAGGCAAAGCCTGGAGATGTGTGTGTGTGTGAGACAGAAAGCCACAGACACAAGTGGAACTGAGTTAGGTAACAGCCCTCACTGCCCTGCACAGCTGGCGGCAACCATGCAGCCCTTGCACATCCTGGGTGGGGCTGGGAGGAAGCAGCTGTGGTGGCAGAAGGCAACAGCCTGGGGCAACAGCTGATCTTGTGGGTGTCCAGGAGCTCCTGTCACCCAGAGGGGACACGTCTCCCAAGTCTTTGAGCTGTAGACTCTGTCCCTGGCTGTCCCCACCTAGCCTCGTGCCCAACTGGCTTGGTAGAGAGTGCCCCGCAGGGCCCGGTTCTCAGTGGGCCCAAGCTGCCACTTCAGGGAAGGCCCAGGTGAGCATCCTGAGGAGGGAAGGCATGGGGACAACCCTGGCCTCGGTTCCTGCAGTGTCCTGGAGGCCTGGCCCTTGAAGGAAAATGGGCCAGAGGACAAAAGGCTGATGCTGGTTGAACCTGAGGGTGGTGGAAAGGCAGGTCCTCTGATGCCCACTTGGGCCTCCAGGGTACCCAGACTCTGTAGGACCTGGTGCAGGGAGCAATGGGGACAGGCAGGGATTTGCCTAAGCTGCTTCCCAGGCACCCATGGGCACCCCTCTGTTCGTCCTCAGGGAAAGGGGCTCCTGGGGCCTCTCCATCCCTGGTGACTATGGGCCCAGGCCAGGCCCTGCCCAGCCCAGCAAATGGGAAGGGCGCATCAGTAAAGCCTGTCTCTGGAGTGGTCTGCTGCGGGCTGAGGCCTTGGGGGTGGGTGGCAGAGGAGGCGGGCTGCGCTCTCCAAACCTAGCCTAGGCAACACCCACCCCACTGGGCTGTGGCACTCACGCCTCACCGCAGAGCTGGACAGTCTGGCAGGATGACAGGGACAGCCGGGGATCAAGGAGGTGCGGCTGTAGGGAGTGGTCTGGGGTACCTCCCATCTGAGCCCGGATAGGGTTCCCACGCTCTGCTCCCAGGCAGGTGGGAAGGAGGAGTGAAGGGCCAGAAGGCATGCAGCTTCGGGGGGGGGGCTTTGCTGGAGCCCCACTTTTCAAAGGAGGGGCGATGCTTATTTGTGCAGAGATGCCGTGCAGAGCTGTGGGCTGTACGTAGGGAGGCCTGGCTCTAGGCTGGGCTTACTAAGGGGCTCCAGAAACTACGGAACAAAATGCCCTCGAGGCTGCCCAGGCTGGTGCTGGGCGCGGCAGGGAGAGTGGGCAGGGCACCAGAGCGAGAGCAGTTGCTCGGCAGCTCTTTGAAGAGGGGGTGCTCAGTCTGAAATTTCTACTTACCCCAACGCCCCTTTCCACTGCCACCAGCAGGGAGCTTCGGTGCCTGTGGGGGAGCCAGGCAGTACTGAGGCAGAGAGGGGGTGGACCCCTTCCCCAGCGGTCACTACAGAGGCAAAGGGAAACTCCTCCCTTCCCGGCTGCCCTTGAGACCTGCTTTCTCTCCGAGCAGTAAGAAAAAGATCCCGCTCTTTACTCCCGCAAGGTTTCCTTGCTCTGCTACAGCAGAGGGACCTCACTTCCCTCCCCCATTGGCCAAGAGGCTGCAAGTTCGCCACGCCCCCTCCCCCTATGCGAACCTTTCGCTAGTCTCGGTTGCTGCTGTGATCTGGGTCCACGTCAGTGTCAGTGTCCCTCTTACCTCCTTTGCCCTTACTAGAGGAAACTGGGGCATGTGCGGGAGAAACAGGAAAGCTGGTCACAAACCGCTTCTCAGGGTTGGAGCCTTTCCAGCGCCCCCAGGGCGCGGCGAGGGCTGTCTCGGCACGCGGGCGGCAGCAGGGGGCGCTCGCGAGCCGGCGCCGCGCGCCTCTTCAGGCTCCGCAGGCACGACGGAGCCCAGCCTGGCCGGGAAGCGTTTGGGGAAGGGGTTTGGGACTGTCTCCATGGTCCCCTTCCCCCGCTGGGTTTCTTCACTGCCGGGAGACAGGTGGCGTTGTGGCGTATTGTGATCCAGAGCCCCAGCACACCCACTGAGCCACCCTTGCTTGGGGCTCGTGGGCGGGGGAGGAGAGACCAGCTCGCGCCCACCGTCCTAGACCCCGGCGCTCGGCCCCAGCCCCAGTGTCCGCAGGAAAGTGGTCCCGCCTCGGTGTCCGCCGACGCGCCAGCTCCGCGTCCCAGCTCCTCGCATGCACCGACCCTTCCACTTCTGCCCGCGTCTTTCCCAAAGCCCCGAAGACCCCAGACGCCGGGCCCCTCTGACCTCCCGAGGCGCGGCTGCGGGAGCAATGGGGGGGGGGCGCCAGGCGGAGGCCGGGCCGCGGGGAGGCTGCATCTGCCCGCCCTCCGCGAAGTGCACCTTCCACCCACCCTCGGTCCGATCGCCTGCCCCGCCTCACTCCCCTCCTCCCGCTCCCGCCTCCAGTCTCCTCCCTCCTCCAGCCGCGCTCGCTCTCCTCCCCACTCCCCTGCCGCGGCGGGCTGCCTGCAGGCTCGGCTCGGGCGAGAGCCAGCGAGCGGAGCGGGCGTCTCGGCCTCCGCGCCAACTCGGAGAACCGGCGGCGCGACCCCCGTCCGGTCCGCTCGGCCCGCGCCCCACCGTGCGCGCGCAGCCGTGTGGCGGGAGGGCGCTACTTTCCCCCGGTCCCGGGCAGGACGGGGACGGCAGCGGGACAACTTGGAAAACTTCTCCGGTGCGAGCGGCAGGGACGCCGGGCGCTGGTGGAAGAGGATGTAGAAGGGCGGTGGCCGGCCCCGGGTGTCCCCCGACCTCCTAGGTCTGGTTCGGCCAGGCCATGGGGCTCCAGCGCCTTCGGCGCCGCCAGGGGGGCGACCCCCTCGTCTAGCCGAGCCAGGGCAGCGCTCTCGCCCGCGGTGCGCGCGCTGGGCGGCGGGCGCTCCCTCTGTCTGCGTCCGGCCCTGCCATGGACCACCAGGAGCCCTACTCGGTGCAGGCCACAGCGGCCATCGCAGCAGCCATCACCTTCCTCATCCTCTTCACCATCTTCGGCAATGCGCTGGTCATCCTGGCTGTGTTGACCAGCCGCTCGCTGCGCGCCCCGCAAAACCTGTTCCTGGTGTCGCTGGCTGCCGCCGACATCCTGGTGGCCACGCTCATCATCCCTTTCTCGCTGGCCAACGAGCTGCTGGGCTACTGGTACTTCCGGCGCACATGGTGCGAGGTGTACCTGGCGCTCGACGTGCTCTTTTGTACCTCGTCCATCGTGCACCTGTGCGCCATCAGCCTGGACCGCTACTGGGCCGTGAGCCGCGCACTGGAGTACAACTCCAAGCGCACCCCGCGCCGCATCAAGTGCATCATCCTCACCGTGTGGCTCATCGCAGCTGCCATCTCGTTGCCGCCCCTCATCTACAAGGGCGATCAGGGCCCCCAGCCCCGCGGGCGCCCCCAGTGCAAACTCAACCAAGAGGCATGGTACATCCTGTCCTCCAGCATCGGATCTTTCTTTGCTCCCTGCCTCATCATGATCCTTGTCTACCTGCGCATCTACCTGATCGCCAAACGCAGCCACCGCAGAGGTCCTAGGGCCAAGGGGGGACCTGGGAAGGGTGAGTCCAAGCAGCCCCGACCGGTCCCTGGCGGGGCTTTGGCCTCAGCCACGCTGCCAACCCGGGCCTCTACTCTGGCTTCTGCGGGAGAGGCCAAGGGACACTCCAAGACCACTGGGGAGAAGGAGGAGGGGGAGACCCCTGAAGATGCCGGGAGCCAGCCCTTGCCGCGTAGCTGGGCTGCCCTTTCCAACTCAGGCCAGGGCCAGAAGGAGGGTGTTTGTGGGGCATCTCCAGAGGAGGAAGCTGATGAAGAGGAGGAGGAGGAGGAAGAGTGTGAGCCTAAGGCAGTGCCAGTGTCTCCTGCCTCAGTTTGTAGCCCGCCACTGCAGCAGCCACAGGGCTCCCGGGTGCTGGCCACACTACGTGGACAGGTGCTCCTGGGCAGGGCCGTGGGTGCTGTGGGTGGGCAGTGGTGGCGTCGACGGGCACAGCTGACCCGGGAGAAACGGTTCACCTTCGTGCTGGCCGTGGTCATCGGTGTCTTTGTCCTCTGCTGGTTCCCCTTCTTCTTCAGCTACAGTCTGGGTGCCATCTGCCCGAAGCACTGCAAGGTGCCCCACGGCCTCTTCCAGTTCTTCTTCTGGATTGGCTACTGCAACAGCTCGCTGAACCCTGTCATCTATACCATCTTCAACCAGGACTTTCGCCGTGCCTTCCGAAGGATCCTTTGTCGCCACTGGACCCAGACAGCCTGGTGAGCCCACCTGCTGCTGCCTGTGTGAGGTTGGTGCCAGGTGGCATCAAGGCCACTGTGCTGCTTGCTCTGCTTTGTGTGGCCGCCTTCCTGGGGTATTCTGTTCCTGCCCAGATCCTGCAGGGCTCATCTCAAGAGCCCCCTGGGTGGGGTGGGGCAGAGGTGCTGGTCACGGGTCAGTGTGAAACCTCCCTTGCTGGCTCGGCTTTAGGGGACCTCTTCACCCCTTGCCTGAGCACAGGCACATGGATGAGGCTTGGACGTTCTTGAACAAAGCCAAGGCCAGGCTAGAATAGAGCACCTCTCTCCCGGAAGCCCAGACCCCTATAGGCCAATGGGTGGGCTTCCTTTTCTTGAGGACCCTGTGTTCCTTGGCAGGTGACTTGTTTGTGGTATTTTTGTTTCTATTTCATCTCCCCCCACCCAAAAAGAGCAGGAAGCCAGCCTTCCACTTTCCCCAGAGGGCCTGCTGCTGAGGAGGAGGAAGAAATGAAGACTGTTCAGCCACGTTGGGCAGTCGTGGTCCCCATCAGACACTGGGATGGGGGGTTCATGGGATGGCACTGTCTCCGGGACCATCTTTCCCCTGCTTTCGGATTTGTGGATCCTTTAAAGGCCAGAACCATGGATCTGTTTCCTCACCCAGCACCAGGTGAGGGAACAGAAGCGGGTGGGCATGTGGATGCCTCAGTGGGGCAGTCAGGAGGCCTGGCCTCTGCCTCGACAGGAGATGCCTGATCACTGGCATTCACCCCTTGCAAAAACCGGGGTAACAATAGCTTGCTGCCTACTTGCTGCAGGGAGATGAGAGGCTTTGCAGAACACTTTGAGCTCCATGGGGGAATGCACTAGAGAGCCAGAAAATGTGATTAACCAGTGATATAAAAATCCCTTTTTTGTGTTTACCACCACCTGTATTCCTGTAGACTTTTGTTCTGTGCCTGGGGTGCGTGAATTCCTACCCCAAACTGGAAGTGGGGAGTGGCAGACAGAATCACTGTTTCAAGTTAAAGGATTTCTTTGAGAATGTATTCTTGTGCCTGCAAAGATGGAGTTATTATGCTGCATGACAACTTTTCAACATTTCATCTGCAACACCAAGAGAGTTTTCAGTGGCTTGTGCCCCTCTGCCCCCTTGCAAGTGGGGGATAAGTTCTTTGTCACCAAGCAGGCAAATTGTTTCCCCAAGATGGCTCAAAATACCCATACCATGGGAACAGTCTACTATGAGAGCCTCTGGCGGGTGGCAGAGCCCCCAGGTGGGGTGTTGACATGGGGGTCCCATAGACCCCTGGGGGAGCCTTCAGCTGGAATACCCACGCAGGTCTTCAAGTCCCAAGGGAGTCCTTGTGAAGCATAACTAATCCCATCTCAGGTGGGTGCCTGCTGGCCACTTCAGACTGAGCCACATTGGCCCCCCAACCTCCACAGTAAGGTTCCCCCCCAGTTCTCACTTCACCCCACCCAGAAAAATTGGAAGTATGGAAAGGATGTTTGCCAGTCTTCCCCGTGGGGGTGCCTGGCTTTAGCCTTCGGCCAGGGGCATCTTAGCTTGGGTGGTGTTGGCACCAGATGGACCTGCCAGACTTGGAAGGGTGCTGAGTGGGTTTTCTGGAGTGAACAAGATGGGGGGGGGACAAAAAAGAGTTCCTTTTAGGGGGTGCTGTCTAGCTTGGCCCTTGATTGGTTGCAGCTGTGAGGCCACACGTCACCCTGGGGCGTGGCTGGGAGGCTGGGCCCAGGGGACGGACAGACTTGGGACCATCTGCTGGCTGATCTTGTGTGTGCCCCATGGGAGCCCCAGTGTTGTTGCCTGTGACTCCTTGTTGTGACATGCAGGTGTTTTTAAAAAGTCTGAGCTATTTTATCAATAAAGGATATTTTGTAATAATCGAGCTGTGTCCTATTGTCCAAGGGCTGCCAGGAGTGGTTATTCCTCAGTTACTTGCATAGCAGACTCTGGGTGTGGCCCAGTGAGCTGGGGCCTCCTCCCAGGGCTAGTTTCCTTCTGCTCCCCAAGGCATGGCTGGCTGGCATCCCCCACCTGCCTGCCTGCTGCAACATCCTTGTCTGTGCAACATCCTTACTCATCTCTACAGGCCAGTGGGGGTGATGGTGGCCAGAGGAGCCTGAGACTGGCTGCTTGGAAAGGAAGAGAAGGGAGGAGAGCTTCCCAGAGAAGGTGGCCTCTGGGCTGGGTCTTGGGGGAAGAGCAGAAGTAACCAAGAGTCAAGACAGGAAGGTGTTTTGGGCAAGGGAAGGGCACATGCAAAGGCTGCTGTGTTGGGTGGATCTGTGACAGGGTTTGAGAGAGAGCCCCACGCTAGCCCTGCTGGGTGGTCCAGTGTAGCAGTGTTCCTGTGCCACCTAGCTGCCTTGGAGAGGGCAGCCTCTGGGGCCCAAAGCAGGTTGGCCTGGTCCCACAGATGGGGGACAGAGAGGAGGCTGGCAGCAGGAGGCTATGAGTAGGGCTAGCATCAGTTATAGAGCCCTGGGAGTGGAGGGTGGAGGAAGGAGCTGTGACCCTTGGTGTGAGGGTCCTTGGTGTGAAGCCACCCTGGTACTCCCACATTGACCCAGAATCTACACTTTTACCACCTCCATATTTTCATAGGGCCCTGCTTTTACTAGGAACAATCAGCAGAGGCTCCAAGGTATCCACTACCATCAGTGGACATGGGGACATGGGCTCTGCTGAGGACTTAACAAGAAAGACATGCCCTGCCCTGCTCCCAGCTCCTCCCACCTGCCAGAGCCCCTCCTGCTGAGCCCAGAGGCCTGACACAGGTAGATGAGGATGGGTCATTGACTCCTTTTCACTGAGCTTGTTGCTCTTCTGATACTTTGTCTAATGACCTCATTTAATCATACGCCACCCTGTGAGGTAAGTATCAGCTCATTTTATCCAGGGGAACCCAGGCCCAGAAAGCTGTAATGACTTGCTTGAGGTCATCCAGGCCCAAGCTTTTTCCACTGGACCACACTGTCCCCCACAGCTTACGGGTCTGCAAAGAGCAAGCCCTTGGGCTTAGGAGTAGAGCATCCTGCCCTGTCTCTAGAAATGGTGGCAGAAAGTTACCCCTGCTGGAGTGGGACTGTATGCAAGCCCAGTTTGAATACATTATCTTATTTAATCCTTACAATCTTGCTGAGGGTGGTCATTATACAAAAAAGAGGAAACACACTCAAGGTCAGCTGCTGGGTCCAAGAATCACAAAACTATGAAATTGAGGTGCAGAGAAATTGTGGTTTCATCTCCTGGGCCAGTTCTCATTCAGTGGCGCTGGGTGTCTGGAGATTTTGAAACTGTGTCTGGCTGGATTCAGTAGGCAGCAGTGCTGTGATTGATTATTCATGTCTGCCACTGCCACAGAATGTATAAATTAAAGTATGTGTATTCCAGGTTTTCCATTCCTGACAGCTCAGACCAACCCCTGAATTTTATTAACCACTTTGGTACGAATGTCGACTATAGTCGACAGCCACAGATGATCACGCACAGCTACTTTAGCCGACAGCCATGATATGACTTTTCTAATTTTTCATTAATCAGAATAAAATTGTGAACATTTAAAAATAACGTAATGAAAACATGTATGTATATGTTACCTATTCTGATTTACATTACAAGCAAAGCTGCCTGTAAAGTAAAACAAGCTCTCAGTGCTTTAAAGCTTTCCTCATCACACAAGAGCAAAACAGATTCATCGTCGATGCACAGCACAGACCATCGTGCGGACTGTGAGTGCCGGCTGTGGGCAAGGTTTTGCGGCCGGTGAGCGCCGTACCGAAGTGGTTAAGGAAGACACTGAGGCCCACTGAGAGAAGATGACTTGCCTTAGGTGACCTCACATGGACACATGGAGGCAGAGCTGGATGAAGAACGCAAGTTGCCCCTCACACCACACCTCCATACTGAAGGAATTGCATACGGATTTAAGGAATAACAGGCCCATGTTGAGGAAACATCTGCTGACAGCCCACTGTGTTCCAGGTTCTGTGCTTGGCTCGTCCCCACTTTGCCATCTTACTCAGTTCTCAGATGAGGAAACCAAGGGGCAGAGTCCCAGGAACTTGCCTGGGGTCACTCAGCAGGTAGACGGTGCCGCTGGGGCTGGATCCAGGACCCCTGGCTGCCCGTCTGGGCTCTGCCTCCTCCCACACCCATCCCTGCAGTTCTCTGTGAGTAGGGCCTGCGCTCGCTTCCACTCCGAGGGTTGCTGGGTTGATGAGGAGGCTGAGGACAGCAGAGCCCCCCTCCTCCAGGAGTGATCCTAGCAAATCACCTGGGGATGGGGGCGGGAAGTGGGGGGCAAGCAGGGTTGCTGGGCAAGTTGCCAGGTGGATGTTAGCTGTCTTGGCCTGGCACATCGACCTTCCGGAGACCCCTTTCTTAAGACGTCCCTGCTGAAGGGAGGCCCCGACGCAGATGAAAGTTGAAGAAGAGCTAGGCAGAAGACGATTAGGAAGACCCCTCCAGCTGCACCTGCTCTGTGAGAAGCTAGGTCCTTAGATCGCAGGGGATACCCTTGAGAGGCAGCCTCTGCCTGGGGACAGCCGCTGAGAACTCCTCTTTGAAGCACTGTGGCAGGAGGCACTCCCAACCCCAGCTCAGAAGGGACCTGTGGCAGGAGGGCCCAGCTGACCTGCTGCCGGGACTCAAGGTGGAGGGAGGCTTGTGGTCTCATGAGGCCTTCACCCCCTCCCCATCCTCTGCATGATCCCCACCTTGTGTGTGAGGGGTGCTGCCAAGCGGGGGTGAGACCTGGCCCAGCTACCATCTGCCAACGGGGAGGAGGCATCAGCTCAGCTGGAGTCGTTCTTGGGCAAATTTTCACATCCCTGGTACTGGCCGGGCCTTCTGACTGCAGTCCTGGTTGCTGTCGGTGGCAGGGCAGGGCAAAGTGGGGAGCCCAGGGTTCATGTCCTGCCCCTGCCATCATGTGTCGGAGTGCCCAGGGCAGAGCTTGGTCCCTCTCTGGGCCTCAGTATCCTTGCCTGCTCACAGGGGATTGCCTTGTGGTCCCCAGGGTTCCCCAGCGTGGGGCTCCATCTCTGCCCTCCTCCCCCTGCCCCAGCTCGCTGGAGGGTCCAGACATGAAGGTTTGCAGAGTTAATCAGTTGTTCTTACAGTCAGACTCATGGGTAGGATTGGGCTGTGTTTTCCTTACCTTTGTGTCTCAGTGCAGGGTTGGGCACCAGGCCTGGAGTAACAGATCGGTTTGGGGCCCCCTGAGATGTGCTGTGGTGAGAAGAATAATGAAAGCTCTGAGCTGTTAGGGCCCAGGGCCTGACTTGCATCCTCTGAAATGGATTTATTATTAGCCCCATTTCACAGGCAAGGAAACTGAGGCAGAGTGAGTTCTTGGCTGAGGTCACTCAGAACCAGGACATGAACCCCTGAAATTTAATCTCAGTGATGTCACTCACAGGCCTCATCTCTGCCTTCTTAGCTATGGGGGAGCAGGCCAGGCCCCTCCAACCCAGCAGAGCCCCTGCCCTGTGTGAGGTTGGGGTACCCACCTGCAGAGACCCCAGTGGCTCTGGGCCAGCACTGCCAGGGGCCCAGGCAGGGGGTGCGAAGCTCCCAGCCTCCCAGGCTCCGCTGTCAGCAGGGGAGGCGGGAGCACTGGGCTAAAATTAGCTTCTGGGATTCTTCGGGTTCCCGCATCCGTCTTCTCTTCCATCCGTCCGGTGGCGTGGGGAAGGCTGCTGTCAGAGGCCAGAGCTGGAAGGGGCCTGGATGTCGGCTCCCATCCTCCCCAGGGCTTGCCTGCTCTGAGCTTCTCACACCCTGGGCTGGCGCTTGGCCAAAGGCTTCTGCCCTTGGCTTGGCCTTGTGGTCATCTTCGATTAGCAGTGATAAGACGGCCCCCCTTACTCTCTACCCACTCCCCCGGGGATTCCAGCTCCCCTTCCTCCCCTCCTCTCCTTCTTCCTTCCCACTTCCGGGTCCTCAGTGAATCCCCCTTCTCTGAGCCTTTCACTACCTCCTGCTTCACCCAGGGTGATGGTCCTGGCTCGCCATGGAGCCTGCAGGGTCTGTAGACCAGTGGTGGCTGCAAGGGGACCGGAACACACAGGAGACCAAAAAAGAGCCTCCCTCCCTGGAAAGTCAGAGCTATTTCTGTCCCTGCTGCAGCCCTCTGGGCCTGGCTCTCCACGGCAGGCGGGGGAGGTGCTGAGGGTCCTGCCCTTCGATTTCCCCAGGGAGGGGCAGGCCCCTCCAATCTCAGAGCAGCTGGGGCTCAGATGGAATCCCTCCCCAACCCCCATGGCTCCCTGAGGTCTCTTCAAGAGGGAAAAGGGCTGGGCCATGGCAATAGGGGACCCAGGTGTCCCTGTGTCCCTTTCCCAGCCCAGCCCAGCTACAGCTGTGAGGGGGGAGCGTGAGAGGCTGCCGGAGCTGATGCCTGGATTCCCTGGACATGTGGGGGAGGGGGCAGGCAAGAGTTAAATCCAACCTTCCCCCTCCCAGTGCAGGAGGGATTGGGTGAGAGTGGCCTCTCAGCAGGCTCCACTGGGTCTCTGTTTGTCAGGTGCCACTTTGGCACAGCTGTTCCAGCTGCAGATCTGGGCAGGCTGGGGCCCCTCTACCCCTGCCGGCCTGGCAGCTGGAGTTATGGTGGGCACCCAGCTGGCAGCTTTTTGAAGGATTCATTAGCTGTTTTAGAAGCACTGGCCAGGGTCTGGAGCCTGGGGTCGTGATCTTAGCAGGGCCACCAAATTTTCTGGGTGACAATGGGTAAATCCCTTCACCTTTCTGGGCTTCAAATTCCTCACTGTCCAATGAAGGACTTGGACTAGAGCATGGTTCAGTGATGTCCTGGGTGCTGTCCAGGGTTTCAGGGCCAGAGAGGAGGGAAACCAAGGCCTCCTCCCCCTACCTCACC